TTCTTCTCCTTCTCCTTCTCCTTCTCCTTCTCCTTCTCCTTCTCCTTCTCCTTCTCCTTCTCCTTCTCCTTCTCCTTCTCCTTCTCCTTGTGGTACCAGGGATTGAACTCAGGAACTTCCACTTGGCAGGCAAGCACTTATTCTATTGAGCTATTTCCCTGGCCCTCAAAATATTTTTTTATTTTTATTTTATTTATTTATTTATTTATTTTGCGGAACCGGGAATTGAACTCAGGTCCTTGCGCTTGCCAGGGAAGCGCTTATTCCACTGAGCCATCTCCCCAGCCCCAAAATATTCTTTTTTAAAAAAGAAAGCAAATACAAAGTTTATATCCGACCCAGTGAGAACCAAAGATTAACAACGTAGGAAAGGAAGGATAACTGATGGGAGAAGGTCCTTGTGCAGGTAGAGGAACGGGCTGAGAGCCCAGTGGGAGGCTGAGCATACCAGGTCAGCTGTGGAAAGAAGGGAGAGGCGGCCTGCCTGGCGAGTTCCAGCCTTACCGGGTAATATCCTTAGGAAAGAAAGAGTACTGCTCCGCGCTGCCAGTGGGGACTGCGTGGAAGGGGCGCGCAGGCGCAGTAGCGCAGGGCAGCTCCTGTCCGTTGGCCGTCTGCATCTAGCACACTGCGGGCCTTGCGCTCTGTAACTCTAAGCGCACCAAGTCTCCAGACCCAGACTAGGTCACACTCCTCCCTCACAGTGCTGACCACAGTGAAGCCAAACGTCAATTACCATTTGGTTCTTGAATCTGGGCACCCCTCATTACAGGGCCAACCCCATTAGGGGCGCCTTCGCGGCATCTTGACACCTGGGTTCTTGGGCAAAGCAGGTTAGACCCGTAATCGCTACAGGGTTGAAAGAAGTCTCAGAAGGGCCGTGGGTGACTGTTAGGCGGCCCCTTCGTCCCCCCGCCCCGGGGTGACAACCTCTCCCCACCACGCCCGCACCCGTCGGGAGCGCCCCGTCCGCCTCCACCACCTGCTACGCTCCAGCTCCCCACCTACCCCCAGGATCCCGGCGCCCAGCGCCCAGCTGTGCGGATTCCGCGGCTTAAGCGGGACGAAGGCCGAGGCGGGCCGCGATTGGTGGTTTATTCTAACAGGGTAGGATGACTTCATGCTCAGCCAATGGCGGGGCTCCCTGCGCCGGGCCCCGCCCCCGGCTGAAGCGGAGGCGGCGGTCTGCGCAGCACGCTAGACCTCGGGGCTGTGGCGGCGGGGGGCATCTGGCCGAGCCCGGAGCGTCGGGCTCCGGCGGGGCGGCTTTGCTCGCTTCCTCCGCCGTCTTCCCAGGTGAGGCGCCCCTTCTTACGGCCCGGCGCGGCCTGCGCCCCCTGCGTTCCCACGGACCGCGCACCTCGGCTGCCGCGCCCCGGAGATTGCACGCGCCGCTCTCGGAATCCGAGGCTTGACCGCGGGAGCTGGGCCCGGCTCGGGTGCGGGCGCTCGGCGTCCCGGCCCCGGCCGAGAGGCGGTGCCGGCCTCCTCCCCGCCGCCGGCTGCATCGCTGCGCTGCGCGGGCCCCTGGGGTGAGTCTCCGCTGCGCCCTCCCGCCCTCCTCGCGAGGCCCTGGCTGGCCGCTCCCGGGGCTGACCGAAGCTGCAGCGAGGTGCGAGCCCCAGCCCCTGCACCTTCTGAGGCCCTGCGCACGCTCGGGCTGTCTGTGGCTCGCGCTGCTGGGGTGGAGCCTCTCAGGGATTGGAGCCCGAGTTGGGCTGGGTCACTTGCGCTCTTCCATCTCCGCCGACGTGACGGTGGCGCGGAGCCTGCAGTCGCTCCTTCCTAGCCCAGGAGCTAAGGCCCAGCCCAGCTGGGGATCCTCACAGACGTGCTGACGTCAGGACCAAGGGAACGAAAGAATCCGTCTTGTCCTGAGAGGTGCACCCCAGGACACCCTAACGATAACCGGAGGAAGAGGAAGAGGGAGCCGGGCAGGAAGGCAGGGCAGCGTGTGGACCGAATGGCCTTGGGGCCCGGAGTGTGACCTCCGTTCCCTTGCTATGAACTGGCTCCAGTTTGTGCTGGGTCACAGATCTCCTTCCCTCCCGCTCCAGTGCAAAACCTGCAGCATGTGCTGGAGGAATATTTGTTGAGTTAAATTTAAAAGGAAACAACTTCATTTTAAACACAGAGCCCTACCTTGCGCTAGTCAGTCGTCTGCCTTAACAAGTATCCAGCTCACTGGATGGACCGACCACATGGGCCCTGAAACCTCCAGTCTCTGGAGGTGAAAGTTAATCTCCCCACATTGTGTGGAGGACACCAGGCAGCAACAGAGGAGGGGCTCCCAGCCAGGGCCTCGCAACATTTGCTTGTTGCAGATCCCAGCCGCAGGGTCACCATGAGCCTGGTGGCCTGTGAGTGCCTCCACAGCCCAGGCCTGGAGCCTGAGCTCTTCCCACGACCACGATCCCAGGCCTGTGCTTACCTGGAGCAGATTCAAGGCCGGGTGGCTGCGGGGGCAGCTGACATGGCCAAGTGTGACTACCTGGTGGATGCGGCCACACAGATCCAGCTGGCCTTGGAGCGCGATGTTAGTGAGGACTACGAGGCCGCCTTCAGCCACTACCAGAATGGCGTAGATGTGCTGCTCCGTGGCGTCCATGGTGAGGACCAGGGCTGGGGCAGGTGGACAGGGGCTGGTGCAGGGCTTGTCCCATCATTTGCTTGTGGTGTCCTTGGTCCACCTGCACTGGTGGGGGCCACTATGCTAGCTGCAGGGCCTCCCTGAAGGACAGCAATAGCTAGCATGTATTAAGCAGCTCCTATAAGCCAGGCATTGATCCTCACAATGATAGATTTATTTATTTATTTATTTATTTATTTATTTTCAGAACTGGGGATTGAACTCAGGCCCTTGCGCTTGCCATGGAAGCACTTATTCCACTGAGCCATCTCCCCGGCCCCTAGAAATTATTGTTGCATGTAATTACAAAAATATAGGAACTGTTTTTTGAGGCAGGGTCTCATTTTGTTGACCAAGCTGATCAAGAACTCCTGGGTTCAGGTGATCCTCCTGCTGCAGATTCCAGAGTGCTGAAAGTACAGCTATGCACCAGTATACTCCGCAGAAACCACTTTTCAAATATTCATTTTCCAGATGAAAAACAGAAGTGTGGGGCAGTTAAATAGCTTATTCAAGGGCTGGGGGGATGGCTTAGTGAAATAAGCGCTTCCCTGGCAAGCTCAAGGGGCTGAGATCAATCCCTGGTTCCACAAAAAAAAAAAAAAAGCTTGTTCAAGCCTCCACAGCTAGCAGGGGCACAGCGGGTGTCGTAGTTTCAGCAGCTCTGGCTCCTGGTACCCACTGTATTTGACTCTCCCAGGACCTGGGCTGGGCTGCTTTCCTCTGGGATTTGGGGATGCGGGGTGAGGTGGTTGACTGATGAGTTCATAACGACCAAGGTGGGAAATCCAGTGAGGCAAAGGGGAAGGAAGGGAAGAGGGAAACTGAGGCCAGGTTGGACCAGCATGGGACATTTTCTGAAAGTGAAATGAGCATGTGTGCTGGAGAACAGAAGGCAGATTGTCCAGCAGAGGCCCAGCTGTGTCCCAGAGAGCAGGCTGGGCTGTCCGGCCCTGCAAGAAGAGGCAAAGCCTGCTCGGGCAAAGTGAGACATGACCTTGCGGGGGAGAAGAGGTGCTGAGGTCTGCTTGAAACCTGAGGGCCTCGTGGCCCAGCTGTGGGTAGGAGTTAACCTGAGTCCCGCTATGCCTACCTGTGGACGTGACCCCCAGGTGTGGCCTCAGGCCTTGCACTGGATTCCTTTGCCTTTTGATCTGGTCTCCACCCTGACCTTTTTGACATGGCCTCAGAGATGAAGAAGCCAGTGCTCTCTGGAAGCTTCCATCTTCTCTTCTAAACAAACTGGGCACAGAAATCTGCACTGCCCCATCTAGGTGGTGGGACATGTGTGATGAGCTGCCCGTCCTAGACGTAAGCAGGGTGAGAGGGTGCTCAGAAAGGTGATGGGCCCTACCTGTCCAGAGCGGTGAGCTGAGGGCGACGTGGCTCCTGGGCACTTCATGCCCTCTTCCTGCCACCCAGACCTGGGCTTGGGAACAGAATCTCAGAAGCAACCTTAGAAATGGAGTCATTGTCTAAGGAGGACAGAGGGTGGGTGAGGGGAGCTGGCATCTTAGCCCTCAGCCCAGGCCAGGGTTGGGCCAGGGTGGCTGTTGGTGACTTTCATCCTCCATAGTGGACCCCAACAAGGAGCGGTGTGAAGCAGTGAAACTGAAAATTACCAAGTACCTGCAGCGGGCCGAGGAGATCTTCAACTGCCACCTGCAGTGGAGGCTGGGTAGCGGGTCCAGCCCTGATGTGGTGAGGAGACCCTTTGACAAGGGATGTGGAGAGAGAGCTCCAAGCCCCACCCACCCCAGAGCAGGTGATGGGCGGGTGGCGAGAGCTAAGTCAGCTGTCCTTAGGGGTCCTTCATCCTACGCCCCCATGGGTCATTAATTGTCAGACCCCTCATGAGTCATCCCTAGGCCAGCCTCAGAGTCCTTGCCAGGTGTACACACACACACACAGCTCACACCCTGTGCTCACACTCACTGAAAGCCTCTGATCTGCTCCTGTTAGGAATAGGCTGGTCTTGCATTTGGAGCATGTGTGTGCACTCGTGTACCCAGGACCCTCCACAGGTGGCTTATCCTAAGCCGTAGGAGGGGCTGGGTTCATCAAGCACACATGACCTGCAGGTGCAGGCTTGCACACCCACCCTCCTCATGCCCTAGGCTTGTAGTTCCTGTGGGCGGCCTTTCCCCTGTCCTGGGTGCATTCTGAGCGCACCTTTCCTGTCCCTCACCCTGGGAACATTCAGTCCCTCTCCTGCCTCCCCAGTAGTTGGAGCTTTGCAGAGGAGGCTTCTGAAGCCCTCGGAGCTTCCTGGGCTTGGGGGATGGGGTTGGGGCTGAGCTAGGAGGCAGCCCACAGCCACAAGAGGCAGCTGGGCTGTGGGAGGCTCCCGCCTGAGGCTCCGCGGCCCTGTCTCCTTCCTTTGCAGGGGTTCAGCAGCCTGCGGCTCAGGCCCATCCGCACGCTGAGCTCAGCCCTGGAGCAGCTGAGGGGCTGCCGCGTGATCGGGGTCATCGACAAGGTGCGTGCCCAGGCGCCTGTGGGTGTGTGGGAGGGCACTGTAGCAGTTTCTGCAGCCATGAGAGGAGCTGTGTCCGGGCTCCCTGCCCACTCCGCTGCCCGCTGCCCGCTGCCCCCACCTTGCACTCTCTGTGTGCCCCAGACTGAAGCCCAGAGCCTCTTCCCACCACGCACAGCCAGGAGCTCCTGTGGCAGGAGTGTGCTCATCCCCACAAGCCTGTGCTCCAGCGGTGGGTGGGGCAGGGGCTGTGGCTGCAGGGAGACTGGGGGAGGGGGGAGGGGGTGGTGTCTAGGCAGGCCTCACCTCAGAAGTGAGGCCGCGCCGGGGATATAGCTCATTGGCATAAATGACTGCCTGGCAAGCGCAAGGTCCTGAGTTTGATCGCTGGGACAAAAAAAAAAAAAAAAAAAAGCCAGCGTGAGGGGTCAGCTTTGGCTTTGGGACCCGCACTGGTGCCAGGCTGCCTCAGCTGTACCCTTTCTCTTAATTCAGGCAGACAAGAAAGTGTGTGATATCCTAGTCCTTCTGGGGGCCAGAGGACAAAACCTCAAGTGCAAAGAGCTGGCACCAGGCTTTCCTCTGCCCGAAAGCAGTTCCTTTCCCAGTTGGCCCTCTGACCTGGAGCGTCCCTGAGACACGGGTGATGGGACCACACCGCAGACCCGAGCAGTCACAGTGGCTAGGGCTGAGCCTGGAAACCTAATAAAACACCTGTGGAGCGGCTCTGGGGGGCCTGGGGCTCCACGGAGGACACTAGTGTGTCTCCCCCACACGAGGGTGCGGTGCTCCTGCTGTGAACTTTGGTTTCCTCTGGAGTGGGGTGGTACTGAGCCGCCAAGGGGGGCATCTGGGAAGAAAAATGAAATAATTTTTGGGAACAGTCTGGCCCGTGCTACAATGTTTGACAGCTCCGTGTGGTGAGCCCAGCACCAGCGTGGGCCCCAAAGCCAAACTAAGTGCAGTTTCCCACCCCAAGCTGTGTCCTGGCTGCTTCTCCCAGGCCTCTGGAGCAGGCCACGCCTGGGCTGTCGTGAGGGCCAGCCAGCTCCCATCTGCGGTGCTATCCCAGCCCTGGGGCCAGGGAGGATAGACAGCATTCTCTGAGTGAGACCCTGAGATTGCACCAGAAAGAAGTGTTGAATAAGATTGAGAAATAGAAAAAAAAAAAAATAAATAAATAAATAAAAAAGATTGAGAAATAGTTAAAAAGGCTGTGGCGATAGCTTAGTAGAATAAGTGCTTGTCTGGCAAGCACAAGGGCCTGAGTTCAATCCCCAGTTCTGCCAAAAAAAAAAAAAAAGTTAAATTGCATTATTTTTCTTATTATTATAGGAGCTCTCAGAGTTTTTAGGATCCAAGTACATACTGGGAATATCTGTGAGGGAGTCTGTGGTACAGAATTCCCCAGTTTAAGCCCAGGACGCACATGTGCCACAAATGAAAAGCATGCATTGCTCCAGGACTTGTGCAGGCGGAGGGAAAGCACATAGGAAGGCCGAACCTAAATGCTCGCTCCTAAGCTTTCCTTGTCTCCTTTCTACCTTGTCTCTGGTACTCATGTGGACTCCAGCCCCCTCCTGAGGTCCTGTTTCCTTTTTTGGTGTCATGCCCAAGCCAGTAACGGGGCTTTCTCCAAATTAGAAAAGATACTAGGGCCACTGAGACTGTGCTCTCTTTTCTCTTTCTCTCTTTCCTTCTTTCTTTCTTTCTTTCTTTCTTTCTTTCTTTCTTTCTTTCTTTCTTTCTT